TGATCATTCTTCCAGAATAATTGACTTGCAGCCTCAGATCCATTTTGATTAGATTAGAAATGGAACTTTGTGATATTTAAACATGATTGCCATAAAAATTAACCGAGTGAATCGATGGATAATAATAATTACACTGATAATTAGCAAGTCTTCTGATTGAAGAAGCACAAATAATATTCGAAGCATGTATAATTACAATACACAATAAAAACTCAGTTGAAAAAAAATATGGTCTGAGAAAATAATCAGCAACATCGTTGAAAACTTTTCCTTCAACAGTTCAGCAGTTAATTGTAGCATTTTGTCTTAGAGTTTTCTATGCTCAGACTTGAAAACACAATGACAAACATTTCGGTTTCGATTCTCTTTGGGTTGGGAAATGTTGATTTGGTACGAGGATGTCGCATGATCAGCGTGATAAAAGTTTGTGAAAGCTTTTTGTCTAAGAAGAAACCAGAATATTCGATGTTTGTTGTTGGATCGCAGACGAAAAACCACATCAAAGATGTTGTATCGACTGAATTTGACAAGACTTGGTATTTCGTTTGCAAAAGATGCACCACTAATTAATCAAGCGTTGGTATTCCGTGTTTCTTTTCGACACGGTTGCATGATGCAATGAAAATATTTTGAATTTTACTTTGCCACAACTTCTGATTGAAAAAGGAGTGAAGTTATAAAGCGAAGTATTCCATAGCAACGCAGGATCTCAGCAATCTTCATAAACCAAAAGAAAAATCATGATTTTCAAATGAAGATTCTTTTGTGCTTAAGTCATCAGTCTCGATTGTACTGAAGCGTCCACGCAGCGCTGAAATGTGCTTCAATTAAATTGAAACGTTTCAATCAAAATCGAATGAAATCTGTTGTATTGACATAACTAGGATTCACGTTTTCAACGCCCTCATTACAATATTTCCTCCCCATATTCATTTGAATCACAGCGCAAATACGCAGTCATCTTTCAGTAGGGATGATTTTGCTATTCGATACTCATACCTCCGTTCATTGTCCATGTCTGTGGAGTACGTGACACACAATTTATACAATTGTGCGACTGTTTGAAGAGGATTCAGTGCAATAAACTTTAAAATGATTTTGGCATTTAGTGGCGACATTGTCGTTTGTATATATACATGCAACACTCATTTTCCAATTAACTCAGCGTTTGCACAAAATACGCACTTCAATTGATAGATTTTGTTTGCTTCAAGTGATTGCCGATGAACATAAAGTGCTATTTATTGAATTGGCCCTGAAGAGGATGTGGGTGGAATGTTTCATTCGATTCAAGTATGAATCGTCGCCGTCGTCATCACTTCACTCAAGTTGGAAGCACTTCGGATTGAATAAGTGTTGTTTCAGGTCAGGAGCAAGCAATGCCACCAATATCGCTTACTCAAAAAACCAAACTAGTAACAGTTTCAAAATTAATAGCTGACTGATTTTAATTCTTCAACCAATTTATTGACTTTATATCGAGCGCTGGAGCGTTATCACGTTTCAAGTGCTCGTCACAAATCGAAACAAGTCGACAAGACTCAGTCCGATTGCGTTGTCTTGCAAATGCTCTTCACTATGTTACATTAGCAATGATAGCAAATTAAACGACAAGACAAGTTCTCGGTCTTCACCGATACGGCTGCCTTATTGATGCTGGTTGCTGTGGCAAATGTCCGTCTACATATCGAAATTCAAAAGTCGACGCGTGTTGAGGGTGGATGTTCATGTTGTATCTCATCTCATCTCGTCCGTGCATGAAAGCGTGAAGAACAGTAGCCAAAACTATAACAGCAGCAGCAGCAGCAACAACAACAACAACAATAACGGCAATCCACATAAAAACCATCGACAAGATAAATAAAAGCTCATCGACTCTCCGACCTCTGAAGATTGTGTCATTTTCATTCTGATTTCTTCTGTATGTTTGCTGTGGTTCGGCATGCGAACTCGCACAACATAGTCATTGAAATAATATTTTTATATGATTCCTAACTATTAAAATAGATATCATTTTAGGCGCCGTATTTCTGAACTCCGGCAAAAAGTTCGCTTCGATTCCGAATGATGATGGGGGAATGTTGTTGATTGTTGGCGAGGGGATACAAACGCAAGAGCTTCATGAGAGAAGCACGTATCGAATCAAAGAGAGAACGAGCAAGCGAGAGAGTTGAGAGAAATTCGAGTTGAATCCAATTCGTTGGTGGGGTCGGTCGTCGAACTTTTTACCACGCATTTTTTTTTGTTGCCCACATTTTACTCTTTTGTTGTACACTACTTCAGTACATACATGCATGTGTATAGTTTTGGTCTTGATGGCTTAAGCTGCCACAGCATCAAATAAACCACTGTTTCGATAAAATGCTGTTCATTTTTATATACACACACTCGCAATAATATTAATATTCCTTTCGCTTCATTTCTGTTACAAATTGGTTGCTCTTGGCACTGATGATTGCAGAGAGATGAGATGGTGGTGATGGTAGCTCTTCTGATTTTTTTCGCCTTCTCTTTCTCTCTCTCTCTCTCTCTCTCATTTGCTGCTCTGTCCCAAGATCTATGACTCGTGCAAGCGACTAAGCGTACAAATGCTACATTTATTATTAAATATGAATTGAAACATCGCGTAAGCATAACACACGCAATTTTCTTGTTTTTCATATTATTTTTTTCTTCCGTTCTTTTCTCGCTCCTATTTGATCTGTTTCTCGCATTTCTATTTTACTTTTAGTTGTTTTGGCTGAGCTTTTTGCTTTGCTTGCACACGATGTTCAGCAATTTGGTGCTGGGTTCGGCATGATGAATAGTCGTCAACACACGCACTATATTCACCAAATAACTTAGGAAATCCGACAAAATGAGCGAAAAAGAAAGACAGTAAGAAAAATCTGGCAGAGATGGAAAATAGAAATTGCGCAGATCTGTTGTGAAATAGGCGGTGAGCTGTGCTGCTGCACGGCAGCAGCGATGGCGGTGACGACGACGTATGAGCAACTTCGAAATGGATATTATTTTGTCACAGCAAATTACTACACAAAATCACTGTTATTACTGCCGCTCACATGAAGGATTGGAGCTGTCAGATCGCATTCAAAGTGCTCTGACAGACATATTTCAACCGAGCGAAAATGGAATGACAAATAGGTCGCAACTTTATCCATTCACTTCACATTTTCTCAATTCACGCTTTTTAGTATCGCCAAGATTTATTTATGTCCAGGCCGAAAGTTTGCCTGAAAAAAAAACACACGAAGCAAATTGAAACTTCAATACAATCGACAGATTCTGTTTTGTCAGCAATTGACGCTTTTTTTTGGTAATAATTTTTTGGATTGCTCTGTGACTTTTCTGTGTTCATATTTTCAACAACTGAAACCGAAATAGCGTGGTCAGTAATTCAAGAAACGATAAAATATCCAACACGTACCATGCCAGCAACATCGTTGAGTCGTTAAAGTCACACCCACGCCCATTCAGTTCAGTTCGGCTTGGCCATGGCCATTCCTTCCGATTTAACTATTTTATAATCACAAAATGTGCGTAAAATTTGGATAAAGGCTACAAAACGCAAAACAGATAGACCTCGGCCGTTAAATCTTGTCTGAAGTATGAGAACAATCGATAGATCTGGGCATAGATTTGAACTCAAGTATAAAATGCTTCTACTTGCCAATTTCAGTTGGATTTGGATTCGACAGAATGATATTGAAATATAAATCCGTACGTTGTTAATGCGAACGAAGGGCAAGCGAGAAGCAAAAAGAGTGATACAAATAGATTTTCCCCCTTTTCCGATTTGATTTAGATTGAAAGGCGATTGTATTTTCGTTCGATTGAACGAAATTGAAAGCAAAAGAAGACACACGCAGCGCTTGCTCAATGCTTGATCCACCCAAATGAACACGTCACCAGAACAAAACAAAAAACCAAGAGAAGCTAGAAAAGCGAAGAGACTAGGAAAGAAAAATCCACAGACAATACGAAGCAGCGACTCATAAATGGCACTATTTCTTTTGAAATAACACAATAAATGGCAATAAAATGACGACTCAACCGAACAGAAAAGAAATCAGTTACGCTTTTTGTTCACACAAATAACAACAATACCCCGACTTTGACTAGATTGCGACAGTCGAACGTTTATTGTATAACATCAACTTTTCGAATGTTCCTCTTTCAGCTCTCATAGCTCTACCTCTCTCCCTCTCTCCCTCTTCTCGATACATCAATCTCAAAGTTTTTGCTATTTGACACACTCTGGGCATGTATCGCATGGTTTTGAGATGTCTTCTTATTCATGTAACCGAAACTTCGCAGGCGAGAAGTTTCGCTAATATCGAAAAAAAAATTCCGTCTTTGGAAGAAGAAGGAAAAACAACCAAAAAGGGAAACAATTTTAATTTTGATAGGGAAATCTGTGTGTTTTTTTATGTTTAGAGAAATGAAACAAAAGTCAAAATGCCATCAACGATTTTGTTCGTTTTTCGATTTGACATTTGGATGGAAGTAGTTTTCTTGGTGAAAAGGTCAATGGTAAATGTGGCTGTGTTGACGTACATCCTATACATTCCATACGCGCATGCATGTACTCGTTTAAGGAGCAGAAATTGATCATCAAAAATTCAAACGAATGACTTAGAACATACGTACTCAAGGACCTGCATTGATTATGAATTGATAAATAATAATAATAATAAAAGAAGTGATTGGATTCAACACCATATAATTAGTAATCGATAATCGTTTATGGTCACGGAATTATTATGTAGTATAATCTCAAAATATTTTTGTGTTTTTTGTGTGTGTGAGAGAGAGATAGACATTGAACGTGGGGCTGATGTGGTTATCGACATTAACAATCAATAAAATAAGAGGAGGACAAATGTGTGAATGACAAAAAACAAAACCAAAATTCACATTGTGTGACACATCAAAGACTGACAAATATATGTATATTAATTGAGAGGAAAAACATCAAAAACTGTGAACAGTGTACTTACCGAAAATAAGGTATTGGCTGGTGTTGATGAACTAGATGCAGCTGTGCTCCCGTAGTTGAGCGTTGTCTGATAGCTGCTGGATAGGATTTTCTTATGTGCCGATGCATGTGCGCGATATGCACTTACACTTAATTTCATTGTTGGTGTGTCTATGCAAAGCTCAGCGATTCCAGTTACGCTGCTCCACACAGTGAAAGATGTGCGCCGTTTTAAGTGTTTGTGTGTTTGTGGGTTTGTGTATGTATTATGTGCTTTTTATGTGTTTGTTTTTCAAATATTCTCGATTGATGCACTTCTATGTCAAAGTAGAAGTTTCAACGTTCAACGTCTCAAACACACTTCACTCTCTCGTCTCTCTCTATCTCTAGTTGCACCGGCTGTGACGCCTCTCGTTCATATTAAATTGCTTTTACTTTTGATGTCGTCAAACTGATGCATGGCTTCAATGTATTATATATCAATCATAAATTCAATTAATGTTTATATTGACGTAATATTCAACTTTGAATGAGGCTTTCAATCTCTCTTTATTCTTGTTTAAATTTCTTCAGTCGGTTGCAGTTTCGGTTTCTGAAATTGAAGATGTGTCGCTTGAATGGAGAAATAATTGTTATTTAATAACTCAAAAGACATATTTGTAAAGATAATTCAAGAAAACAGAAGAAAAAACCTTAAGATAAATTGATATTTCCGTCGCACATCCTCAATGCAAAAGTGTTTTGTCACACAACCACATTGAGATCTTTGAACACTGAATATCATTCGACAAACTGAAAATGCACCAATTTCAAACTCTCTATTTGGTTTTGCTTCCTTTAGAAATCTCGTATTATACGTACAGATATTAAATCCAAAGTGAGTTGAGTCTGCAAAGAGAAAACAGAGAAAAAGACCGCATATTAGAATTCGAGTAAGGAAAACATCTTGAATTTCAACGATCGGAACTAATTATTCGCTGAATAAACATCTTATTGCTACAATTATCATTTTGATGAATACATTTTTTCGGTGTAGAAACTAGTTTGTTCGGGCATACACTCTGAAATTGTGCCAAAAATTGCGCTCGCTTTGATTTTATCCATTTATATTTCGACTGAATTCGATCTGTTCCGTTATATGTTTGAATATTTTATGAAAACAAACGTGCGGAAAGCAGCCATTCAGTGGTTGGAGAACTGGAGTTGAAAAGTAGGGGAAAAAAGGAAGAAGATCTAGGTTAGACCACAGACACACTGTGCATACTAACAACAAAACTCCGACAACGACGACATTCGATGAAGTAATCTTTCACGCATGAACGTATAAACCACAGGGAAAAGAGTCAATTTAAATAATGATGGTTCAAACAGACTGAGCTTCAAAAACGATGAAAAAGACCTGGGAAATTCTACCATCAAAATACGAGTCGGAAAGAAGCACATGCCAAAGCACAACACAAACATGATATCTCTAAATTAGATACACTTGTGACCGAATCATAGCAGCGTACACAAAAAATAGATAAAAGAGAGAGGACGAGAGAGGAGAGGGGGAAGGGAAAAACAGTAACTGAAAAGAAGTAAGTAACGTGCGCAAAAAAGGAAATGAGAACAACGAAAATTGGATTATAAAAATAACGACGCGGATCCGGAGTGGTAGCATGCGAACAGAGACAACGAAGTGAAAATATCGATGTGGTTAGAGTGAATGAGCGCAGCGAAAATTACGAAATGCAAGTAATATTGGTTATAATCGGACTTATTTAGGTTATTATGGCAGCGATTTAATGGCATACCAAGCACAAATGTAATAGTGCTTTGCCATAGAAAGTCAACCAAATTTGCTCTCTCTCTCTCCCTTCCCCGCAGTGTGTATTTTGGAAATGTGGCACTGGTCGTTTGTGGTTCGCTGTAACATTTACACAACCAATTAGATCAAGTTATTTATGATTGTATACATTTTTAGAAAATGAACGTTACACGTCCCAAAATTAAATTTAACACAATTTTTCGGTCACCAACGAATTTTTCGTTCACCCCACCCACGAAACGCATTTAGCCCAAAATAATTGGAGTTTAAAATATATTTTCTATCTCTTTGGTGTGGACTGTGGGGACAACACAGTGCTTTGAATAAAACAAAAATGTGTGCAGAAATTGAATGAATAAATTAAACATCTAAATGTAACAATGTTTTGGAAAATTTGTTAATCTGCTAAATTCAACTAAAAAAGTTGCCAAAATTGTTCTCGGTCACACACACATTTCGGATGTATGTCGGAGGTAAGCAGGCCGCCTGCCGCAGTCTTTTCTCACTCGTCAAGACAAATCGCAATGAATAGAAAACATGTTGTGTAATTTCAGTTTCACATGGGATTCTCTCTCTCTCTCTCTCTCTCTCTCTCTTGACTTTCAATGCCTACAGAGATAAATTGCCCTTTTACGTCGGTATTTTTGGTTGAAAGTGAATTTCACTTGAGTCAGTGTTCCCAGTCGGATTTTCGGTCGAAAAATAGAACGGCTTTCGGAGTTTTATGGCAGAACTTATGATTATGGATATTTTGCACAAATGAATGAATACACACAGCGTTAGCGCATGTGTTACTAGAAAGGACTCAAATGAACAAGTTCCGTTCTCATAAATTTCATTTACATAATTTGAATCCCTCAAACCGAATAAGTACACATGCTCATGCTGTCACTCTCTCTCTCTCTCTCTCTCTCTCTCTGTCCCTCTTTCGACCGAATGTATTCGCATTTTATCCATTTTATGAATAACATCGAAATTTGAATTCGTCTTTTGCCAAATTCGTCTAAGTCATTTCAAGTAGTTTATGTATGTATGTTGTGACGATTCAAAATGCTCCCAACGGGTTAAGCACACTGAATTTTAGTGTTGCGGCAATGAATGAATCAATTTTTACTTATTCACAGTTTTACATATTTGAATTTATATGTTAATTTGCCCCAAAAAAATGCGCTCTTTGTATGTATGTGTCCAGATTCAAAACACAGCTGAAATATAAGCCTTCAATCTAAATTTAAAATGTCCTCGGCAACAAACGAAATGTTGCACAATAAGTGGAATTTTGTACGCGATACACCAAGAATCGGTCACATTTCTCACTTGAAAATGTATCAATCTAATTATGATGATTGCGAATGAAACGATGTGATTTATTTGTCCACATAAATAAATCCAATTAATAAAGTTTAATTGTTATGAATTATTCATGAGCACCCGGCTCAATGTGGGCACACCACAGCAGCATTTCGCGGAAATCTTGATTGATATTGATCCCATTCCGCATGAGCTCATAAGCCTTCTTCTCCACTAACATCATTCCAATCGAATCGCATTGGGATTTGAATTCAATCCTTTTCAAATGCAAATTTACATTATTCATTTCGAATTAAATTCCAATTTCAACATTCGGATTCGCCATCTTTTGTCAGTTTGATATATCCATTAGGGGTACCACAGTTCTAATACATAATTAAATTCAATTTAAATATTCTAACGTCGCTTTCATCGATTCCTTGTTCTGGTGCAATTGAAAGTTGCCAATTATTTTTTTTTACCAAAATGGGCATCGCCTTAGAAATTAATTGCTAAGTCTTTCTCACTCAACTTCGAAACAACTAGTGAAGCGTAAATGAAACTTATTCAAATGTTGTCAGCATCTTTGAGTATCTCGATTCGTCAACAATTGAAAACATTCTTTTGTTTGAATGACAATGGAGACCGTTCCAACGAGAATGGACGATGACATGGAAAAGCGATAGCTACAAAACAAGTTTTGATTGACATTGGCGCCAATCAATTTATGGATGATTTGCACCCGTTTTCATTCGTAATCGATTTCGAATGGACCAATCATTTGTGTTTTCAGCTCACGTATTCAATTCGCGCCGCCCGAACGATAACCGCCAAGCAACAAAAAGTGGATGGCCACAGTCTTCTGGCTGAAATCAATAATCCCCCGAATGAAAATATCAGTCGAATCAAATATTGAAATTAGGACTTTTGATTTATATATCAACATCAGCAATTCATCAGAATGGATGCCGACATGTTCATTCGTATTAAATCACTATCGTCATTCCATACTCTGACATCCATCGCAATAAGAGTATAGCTTTCGAAAGAAATTGTCGGTTTTATCCTCCTTCGATTGTTCATTTCAAAAGAAAAAGTTATGTCATAACATTCTGGCGAATAGATTTGACGTCAAAGTGCTATGGACCATGTCGATGTTCGCATGTAAAACCAGTGCAAAATCTCAGTCAATCTAAACAATCAGCCAAGATTGTGCGGGAAAAAAAGGAGAAAGTAACATTGGACGGTGCACTTTCGACGACCCGAACCATACCAAGCTCGATCTATGGAAATTATTGTGACTATTGACGCTTGCTAGTAATTGAATATTTTTCATCAGTCGGGCTCGACATGTGTCGGGCTGGTGAGATTACATCGCGCTCTCAATTATTCCGCACAAGTAATAATCACGCGAAGCTCAACGTATTTCAACCGCCCTGTGCGATTTCCAAGATGTTTTTCTTTCGCTCCGTTTCGTAAAATTCACAAAGTAGTAAATTCAATTATTTTATGCCTTGATTATGTTAATGACAAGCCAATGAACGATGACGGACGCTTTACAGCGAAACGTGCCACTGATTTTTCTTGCCATTCATTTTTTGTCTGTGCGTGTGGAGCAAATGACTGATTCAATAGAATTGTCTACGATATGGAATTTGGTGAACTCAACCCGACGTTGTTTTTTTTTCGCACAAACAAAAAAAAAACATTTTTTGGGCGTTTTTCTTTCGAATCGCTTCTAAAAGCTCTGCCACATTCCAGAAATGTTATTTGCAGTCAGTACATAGAAAATGGCGAGCGCGTCAAGTGTGGGAGAGACTAGCATCAGAATGAACCGAAAAAAACGCAGTGACGAAATGTGAAATCCTGACTAAATTGTTAAAAAAAAGTAAATAGAATCCGAATATTTTTCAGTGGAATTGCATTTTTGGCTTTACGTTCGACATCTTTTTGGAATGGTGGTTCGGGACAACAGTTGTGCGTTATCGTTTAACACAATTGGTGGATTTAAATGTTTTCGTTGCTGCCATTTTTTCGCCTCTCACTCTTCTCGTCTCTGTTGTTTTTCTGCTGACTGTTTTCGTTGCACGCTTTAGCAGCTGTAATAGGATTATGTTCGGTTTTTTCTCTCTCCTATTCCATCTTTCTAATGTTTCTGTTTTCATATGTTGGTATTCACAATGGTTTCCATCAGAATCCACATATACGCTAGAACACACAAATTGCACCAAACAACCCGAAAATAGACCGAAAGCAGCAATTTTTCACTACTTTACCAACTCTCGCGTTTCCTTTTCTCCATCGGTTGGTTCTATGCGAAGGGGAGAAACTTGTCTTTTCGCTTGAAAATTATGTTGAAAATCAGAGTGACGTTGAATAACAGACTCCGTTACTTATGTGATCGAAATTTTCCTTTTCGTTCTTTACTAAGACTCGTCAAACACGTGTGCTCGAACGCGTTATTATCAGTTCTAATGGGATTCAGAACGCAGACAACCGACGAACG